CTTTTCATCACCATTAAAATTTTGACAAATAAAAAAAATAAAGAATGAAAAAATATATGTTTTTCTTTTTCAAAAATATCAAAAGATTGTAAAATTTTGATCGGTAGTTAGGACAAAAATGAGCATCATGCTCTGTGGGGTACAATCCTGGTATTAAATCGATATCAAAGATAAATCGACATTTACATCGTATTCAAAAAAAAAAATCAAATCAACAAAATATGAGAAATAAGTCACTAATAAATACATAATATTAATAGTGATTATTTTTAACTTATTTAGAAATAGAAAATTTTTATTTATTAATTTACATATTTTTTTTTACCATTTTCATTTTTATTTTTTAACTTTTATAGAAATATTTGTCAACATCGACATCTTATAGATATTTTCATCAATATTTTAGACCTCGACATTCCGATCGAGCTTTATTGTTCTGCTTCTTGGCAAACATGCTCGAGACTTAAATAAGTTACAAATTTCATATAATTATTTGATAAGTCCAAGGGTGAAACTTGACTAAACGAAAAGAAATCCATTATTTTGGCATCATTTGAGAAAGTAAATGAAAAAAAAAAGGTCTCTTATTGTGCTCCGACTGTGGCCATGCAAAAAAGCTATCAAAAGGATTATTGTATGGTAGCAGTGAATAGCAGTCCCAAGCCCTATAAATCTCCCCGTAGCCTTCCATTTTCATTAACTTTTACTTCATTATTGCTCTCTGTTCTTCATTTCAACAAGCCTCATGCTCCCACCAACAAAAACAAACCAGAAAATTAGAACTGCCATGAATTGCTCTGCCCATCGATTCTTCTTCTTCTTCTTCTTCTTCTTCTTCTTCTTCTTAACCTTTCTCTTCATTACATCTTGTAATTTCAATATTCACTCGCAAACGCATAAATATTTTTCAATTTCAGCCTCTTCTCCAAGCCACACGAAGCCGAAATTTCTCGCCGATCAGAATCAGATTACAAGCGCAAGTTTAGAGCAAAGTAGCCGTAGGAAGCTTTTGATGCACGGTAATTCCTCAATTTCGATCAGTGTGATCTTCTTTTCTGGCTGTTGTCAAGATTTTGAATCGAATTTCTTTGTTGTTCTTCAGGAAGATGCAGTAACAGAGATATAAGCATCTCGCAGAGCAAGGATTCGACAGCGGGAATTCCGCAGTACATAGTTCAAATTGCAAATACTTGTCTCTCAGAATGCGCTCCCTCCGAAATTCGTCTCCATTGCGGCTGGTTTGCCTCTGCAAAAATCGTAAACCCTAGAATTTTCAAGAGGATGTTTTACGACGATTGCTTGGTGAACGGAGGGAAGCCATTGAATATCAGTGAAACGATCAGATTCACTTACTCCAACTCCTTCATGTATCCTCTCAGATTCAAGTCGGCCAAGTTTTGCTGAGCTCCCATGGCGGATTCGAGCGGAGGACGATATCCAGATTGGGCGAAAACGTCATTTCGGTGAATCGGCTTTCGCTCTGCCCTACTCATCAACTCTGTATAGTTCGCCTCATTTTGACAAACCCTGTTTTGCAGATACTTTCATTTTTTTACCTTATAGTAATCAATTTTAGTATTAAAATTTTAACTTTATTAAATTTAACCATAAACTTCAATAACTACTTAAATCAATATACTCTCTATTAAAAGAGATGCTGTCTTTTTTACGATCACACGTTCTTATCTTCAAAAATACTATATTTATTATTTATGGATATTTATTGATTTTCTTAATATATTTAATATATATTTTTCTAGACATTTTGATGAAATATTTTGATGAAACATATTATAAAATTAAAATTTTGATTAAATTGTAAGTTAAATTTATCCCCAAAATTTAAGAATCGTATCTAATAGTTCCACGAATTTTTACGATAGTGTTTAATATGTTTTTAAACTTCAAAAAATGTATAATAAGCTCATTAACTCCTATTTTTTTAATCTTTAGATATTTAAGGATTTATTAGATAAAATTGAAAGATTAAGTTATGAAATTTCAGAATTTTTTGCCCAAAACTTTAAATTGGATGATATTAATGTGTTTTACTGTCTAGATTTTTTGTTTAGTTGAAATAATTTATTGGAGTATCTGCGGGTGAATCTTTAATTAATAGTATGGAGCTGTCTCAATCCTACAGAAAAAATTGAAAATCCAACTTTAAAGGCTAACACAAAAAGAGTACTTTTGTAGCTGGTGTTTGTTAGACAAGGCATTGGATCAGATCAGACGGCCGAGTGAGGCCGAAGTTAATGCTTAAAACTTTGTGCTCACCAGCCAACTTGGTTTGGTATTACTATTCTATTAGGCCAGTATTTTTTTTTTTTAATCTTTTAATTTGTCGAGGATAATTGGGCAAGGCTAGCCAGCCCCCTTGTTTAGAGTGTCAGCAATGGCTACCTTTTCAGAGGAGAGAAAAAATGGTTGGTGGCGCAAAGCTGCAAATTTGCAGCCATTGTTGTGTTTTTATGTGCATTAGGAACACAACCCATAGCTTTCTCCCTAGTTGTAAAGGGGCCTTCTAGCTCTACGGCTAGGGAATCAAATTGCTATCATGATAAATTTTTATTTTTATTAACTCAATATATATATACATATATATTACAACGTGCTGAGAGGAACAATCTCTTGGTTGGAGGTATGTGTCAATTATGGCTGAGTTATGTTCATTTTGTCGTTGGTTCCTATTTGGTCCTGACAAAAAAACTCTTATTTTCCACTCAAATCCGCGATCTTTTTAATCAAATTAACTTATTAATCTATATGAGCTACGTTTTTAAAATCAACTTGGTTTTTCCGTTTAAAATACGTTAATATAACAAGGTTATTATTTGATTAAGCGTACGGAGGACTAGATCATTTCACTGCATACATCCTTTTGTAACCGAAGTTTCTTGTTGGGGTGTAATAAGTTGGATTCTCCTTATAATTTAATTGGAAAATAATCTCAATTATCACTTAATAGACAATTCGAAAACAAACAGAATGCTTTAATTTTTTGTAATCCTCCTCCCTAGCATTTTTTATGACTCATTGGTAGGAATAGATTATGGTGAATGGAGAAAAAATGAGTTCAAATTTGTTAAGGATTGCTCGTTTAAAAGAAGATTTATAATAGACATGTATTACTTCTTTGAGTGGTTTTCATATGAAATATGATGAATATTAATATGGTATTAGAGTCCAACAAACTCAAATGAGTATCCGGTCCAAAATGGGATCCAGATCTAGCCAAAATCGACGAGTCAAAAGAGTCACGATCTTAAATTAATTATTGTGTGTTTTCCTATGATTAAGCAATTGGTCCTGGTCGAGGTGCGTGTAAGCTAACCCGCACTCAATGATATTAAAAAGAAAAACACAACAATTTGGTATATATGTTTCTTAAACATATCAGCCATAGCAATTTGATCTATTGCACATTCTTCAATCCAAACCGTCCATTATATATATATATTTTTTCTGTTATACAAATTATTCCTTCAAATTTCATCTATATATATATATATATTTTTTTTTAAAAAATTTTAAATGACCCATCCATCAATAAGAATACAGTCGAAATTAGAAAAGAAAAAAAAAATCCTAGCTTTCTTAATTTATTGGCTTCTTTCATGCGGAATCACAGAGCAGTACGACATCGCTTCGAGCATTTGCTCAAAAGAATTTTCTTTCCTCAAATTTAGAAGAAATCGATGTTTTGTTTTTTTTAGGTTCAACGGGTGGGATTCTAACTTCCATCCCTTTAATATATTTAAACTATTAGATGAGGAAATTTTGATCTGAAATAAAAATGAGTCTATAAACTATATATATTAGTTTTATTCCTCCATGCAATTTGCAAGTTAATGTGCTACATGGATGTGGGGAGAAGATTGGAAATAACCAAAATAATGCTACATAAATCTTCCAGAGTCTTGCCGTTCTTCGTAAGCGATGACGTGTCCGCCGGCGGGTTCCTGAAGGTACCATCGCATTCGCCAACCTCCGTCATGACGGCGGAAGCCTCCACGTTGACGCCGTTATAGTCGCCGACGGCCAAGTAGTTTTGGGCTTGCTCAATTTCGCCGACGGCCTCGTCGTAGTTAACGGAGCAGGCGGAGTAGCATTGCTTAAGCGGAGTTTCGCTGGTCTTCGCCAGCGAGCGGGCGAGGCTGAGAGATTGGGCGGCGTTGGTACGGGCGAGATTGAGGGTGTATGCGGCCACCCTTGCCAGGTCCGGGCTGCCCGCGGATTTCAACACGCTTGCGCAGAAACCCGGGTTGCTGGTTTTCGGGCAGACGGTGGAAACGACGTCGTTTGGGGATGCTGCATCTGCATGCAAAGAAAGGAAAGCTAATAGGGAAGAGAGTACGAGAATAATAGAGTTGGCCATTTTTTCTAGCTCAGAAAATATGATAATTCCTTTTCTTTTTTTAATTCTATTTTTTCCTTTGCATTAAGTTCGTCTTGATGGATCGTTTAAATAGGAATGAAATTTTGAAGGATGGGTTTTTTTCTCAATGAAAAAAAATGGTTGCAATTAAAGTTATTGCCATTTATAAAAGAACCTTTATTGGGAATTTGGGAGGAATTAATTCTCTATTAAATTTCAAAGAAAACTGAACTTTTGGTCACTGCCTATTGGATATATTTTTTTTTTTTCAAAAAATAAGTTTGAGTGAAATCTAAGAGATCAAATTCCCAAATATTTCTCTTTTTATATTGCTATTTATATAGAACTTTTACTGGGAATTTGGGAGAAATTAATTCTCTGTTGATTTCAAAGAAAACTGAACTTGGTCACTGCCTATTGGATTAGAAAAATAAGTTTGGAGTGAAATCAAGGAGCTCTAGTAGAATGAGAATTACAAATCAGTTCAACAATTTGTAAAGAAGATTATTAAACTAATGGAATAAAGAATTGTAAAAATGCGATGAAAGATGTCTCTCAAACCATTAAATCCACATTATATCCATGTGAACTAAGATTAATTAGTAATATAATTAACTTATTAATAAAACGAACAAAATGGACGATAAACATTCATAACACTTGTCTTAGATAACAAGGGAAAAAGAAAAGTAACGGGCAAAGAGACTTTGGGATGAGCAAGTAGAAAATTGAATCGAACACGAAGAAGTTAATTAATAGTGCGTCATCAACAATCTTCTCTCGAATGAAGTGATTATTCAGTTCAATATAATATATACTTGATGTAACGCTCTTGAAAAGCAAGAGGGATTTGAAGAAACATGGTTGGACTAATATTTACATATTATTTCAAAATAATATTTGCATATTAAAAAACAAAAAGTAATAATATTTTTATAAATACATATTTATTTTATGTAGTATAATTTCCTCATAGGCTATTGGGAGAAAATTTGAGCATAAATCAACTTTTTAATGTATATATCTAACCAAAAGGTTGACATAAAATAAATATGTATTTATAAAAATATTATTATTTTTTATAAATCAACTTTTTAATGCATATATCCAAGCAAAAATATCCCACCAAAAGGTTGTTGTTCTACTTGGAAAAAAAAACTATTTGGATATCATATTTCCACCACTACGTGGCAAAGCTTAAAAAATAAAACGCAGCACAAGTAATATCACAAAAGCTGTATTTTCCAACTTTTAATAGAAAAGTAAACAAATGGACATTCTTCCTGTCTATGGAAAAAGGATTCTTGTAGCCCAAACAAATAAATCTTAATATATCCCTACCCAAAAAAATTCCCTAGAATCCATGGGAGCTTTAGGAAAAAACTAAAGATATTTCTAGAGTCTTTTCCTTACATATTTATTTACAATCTTTAAGATAATCAAAAGATGATTATTTTATGTAGATCCTTCAAGGAGGACCTAGAAGTTTCTAGATATAGTATAGTTAGTGTTGTATTTTAATTTTAATAGAGATTGTTTCAAATTTAAAATTGACTAAAAAACTAAAGAGAAATTTGAAATGTATTACCGACCTGACAAGATTCATCCTACCGATTGAGAAATTACAATGAAAATGTAATATAGGAGTAAAATAGGGTATTTTATTTTCTCCCATAAAAAAAAAAAACTAAAAAAGATATTTTTTTTCTCCCATAAAATAGGGTAAAATTGGAATCCATTCTAATTTTATCAAATCTTACGATTTTTCTTTTTCCTTCTTTTTACCCAAAACGCGGTTAAATCCTAACGAAACGATTTCAAATTCTCTTAGATTAGAAATACTTCTAAATCTGGGGTGCGGTTCCAGAAAAGGGGCAACTACATTCTTTTTTTAATAGAAAAATCCTAAAGTTTTCATCAGTATTTGAACAACCCCATCATCCATCAACGTAAAATCAAGAAAAGGAAAAAAAAAGGAAAAAAAATTGAATAAATTTCTCTTCGAAAAATGGCAAACTGCAGTGTCGTGGCATCCTCCCTCTTGGCTTTCGTTTCTTCCCTTGTTTTGTTGTTGCATGTGGCATCCGCAAACGACGTCGCTTCCACCATCTGCCCGAAAACCAAAAACCCGGGCTTCTGCACGACCGAGTTGAAAACCGCGGGCAGCGCAGACCTCAAAGCCCTGGCCACCCACACCCTGAATCTCGCCCGTAAGAAGGCCGGCGAATCCGTGGCTCTGGCCAACGACCTCGCCGCCAAAGCCACCGATCCTCAGCTCAAGGAACGCTACACCTCCTGCTCCAAAAACTTCGACGAAGCCATCGGCAACATCGAAACCGCCGAGAAGCACTTGGCCTCCGGCGACTATAACGGCGTCAACCTTGCCGGCTCCGCCGTCATGTCCACCGTCGACGACTGTCGGGCCAACTTCGAGACGGGCCCGGCCGACACGTCGTCGCTCTCCACTAACGGCAAGACTCTGGACGATATTTCTAGCATTATCTTGGTGATTTCCAATCTTCTCCTTCAGCCTGCGTAATTAACCAATTCTGTACTGGAGATTGCCATGGACGAATATGTTTTTAAGTTCTTATAACCAATAAAAGATGCGATGAATAACTCATCTTCCATTGTCTCTCATAACCATTAAATCCACCTTATATACATGTGAACCAACTAAAAAAATAAATTAGTAACATAATTAACTTGTTAATAAAACAAACTACTCATAATACACGCCAAGAGATGGATGATAAATATTCATAACGCTCATCTTAGATAATAAGAGAAAAAGAAGAGTAACTGGCAAAAAGACTTTGAAAAGGATGAGCAAGGAGCTAGAATACTGAATCAAATCAATAATGACAACTCCCTCTTCGGAAGGATGCAACTTCTTATCCGCTACAGTAAACTGCTAATCTTTGTTGTTACTATGGATGGTAATTTGTTGCGATCCGACCCAGAAGAGCTTGAAATTAAAGAATCACTGAGAAAGACTGTGACAAAAAATCTGCATCAGAAATCACTGGAAATAAAAATACTTTGATCAGGCTTTCAAATAATATAAAAGTCATGAGCAGCAACAATATGAGACTTAGAAAGGGTGAAACATGAACTGGCGAACAACACGTGTGATGTCAAGGAGCGAGAAATAATCAAATATAAAAGTCGACTAATAAGACGGTGAAATAATGAATGATCGGTGAGGAAGTTAACAGTATTTTTAATTAATGCTTCTTCTAAAAGTATTTTTTATAATTTATATATATTGTATATAACAACACATGAGCATAGTTATGTACTCCTTCCCTTTACCTTTCTTTCGTTGTAGTAAAAAAAATTATGAAATTTGAATGTGCTAATTTTTTTAAGTAACAAAATCCACTCTAAAAAAATATACTTGTTTTTATTTGGTCCGGACCTTTTAAAAATAATTCTAAAGTGTCACGGAGGGGAGTTGGTGAGTCGGATATTTAATAATTTTATATTATTATATTTAAATTTAAACTAAGATATTACTAATTTTTTTAATAAAAAAAATAGAACTTCTTGCATATTTATACTATACTAATTATGTAAATATGTATTCAAAATAGCATACATATCTTCAATTTTTACCCTTTTGATCCATATATGATCCAAGAGTTTACATTTTTCAAAATAACCCTCACATCAAATATTTTCACTCAAAAATTTCAAATTAAATTTGACAATAATGTATTTACGACCAAATCACTTTTCGTATAAAATTACATTTAAATAAGATAAATAAATGTTGTTAAAAAACACTTTTTGGTCTCTATATTTTGGCTAAAGTAACAATTTAGTTCGTGTACTTTCATATTGGTAATAATTTAGTCCTTAAACTTTGTCCTTGTATTTTCTTTTTTGTTTAGTTTCTTATATATATAGACAAACAAACTAAAGAGGACCAAACATGTTTATAACTAAAAAGATTAAATTGTTATATAATAAAATTTAACACTTAATTTTAATAAAATTGTTTACGATGAGAACTAAATTATTACAAGTTAAAGTTTATGGACTAAATTGTTACTTTAATAAAAATATAGGGACTAAATCGTTACAAACTTCTAAAATTTAGGGACTAAATTGTTATTTTAGTGAAAGTACAGGACCCAATGTATTTTTTAACTAATAAATGTCTAAGAATGGTATAGGAAAAACAATTAATGGTCAAATATTCACAATCCTCAGATAAAATTGAAATAATTGTTGAAGATGGTTCATATTGGAATTTTTGAATTTCATATTAGTATTTTTTTTTTAATAACAAAGTGAAACCTTTTTTAAATTATGTTAATTCGTTTTAGATAGATATATATATATGTCAAATTAGAACAACGAAACACCATCAAATGAAAAATTAGTGTGAAAAGAAATATGTATTTATATAATAGCATTAGGTTTAAAATTTTAGAAGATGACATAAATGGTAAACTTATACAATCACATGAGACTAAAAAAATTCACTTTTATGAGATTTTTTAAAGATAAAACATAATAATATTTTATAAATACATATTTATTTTATGTCTCCCATAAGTTATTTGGAGCAAATTTGAGCATAAACCAACTTTTTAATGCATATATCCCGACCAAAAGGTTGTGGACTCGAGTCCCGACCACCTCACATATTGTTGTACTTAAAAAAAAAAATACTATTTGGGTATCATATTTTCACCTCTATGTGGTAAAGCTTAAAAAATAAAACGTAGCACAAGTAATATCACAAAAAATACTTACCTCCTTATCGGTGAAGACAAGATCTGGTCCTCATCACTATTAAAAGTTTGATAACTAAGATAAAACAAAAGACTTTTAAAATAATAATAATAAGTTGTCAAATTTTTAATGGTAGCGAGGACAAGATTTAGTCAATCACCGATAATTAAGTCAAGTATTTTCCAACTTTTAATAGGAAAATACACAAATGGAAACTCTTTGTGAGAAGATTCTCTAACTCATTTTTCTTACTTTCTTCACTAACTTCACTTATGTGGGGGACATCTCTCCTGTCCATGGAAGAAGGATCCTTGTAACCCAAACAAATAGATCTCAATATATCCTTATTCAAAAGAATTATCTAGAATCCATTGGGGCATAAAGAAAAGCTAAAGATATTTCTAGATTCTTTCCTTTACATAATTATTTACCATCTTCAAGATAATCTAAAGATGACTTGATAAGAAAACACCCTAGCCAATTAGATGTAAGAACTATGCAAACTCCTATATCACAAATGCTAAAACCCCAAAATCAAGATGATGTCAACCCAAGAAGAAGTTAGAACGAATTTACCTTGATGATCAATATCAAGAGTAGAGACTTGTTTATAAACTCAAGATTCGAACCACTCTACCAGATAGCTTGATCAAGACTATTTGAATGATCCTAACATACAAATCTAACACTCAATAATTGCAAAGAAAAACAAGCTCTAGGTTTTTGAAGCAAAATATAGCAACTTTCATTCAATCATAAACACCTGTCTTTCCAAGGGAACAAGCTAGGTTATTTACAGATTCCAAAACAACCCTAAAAGTAACTAAAGACATTTGAAAGGTTCTAACTCCAAATTACATGATGGCCATAATGTAACTTAAAATACTCAAATGAAATGTTTAAAATTGAAAATATAACAAACAGAAGTTTAAATCCGAGAATTGAAGTCTTGGTCACCCTTCAAAGTTTTTGTAACTTCCCAATTGTAAATAACTGTAGTTCCATTAGTTGATGGATGACTTGCAAATAAATGAAACTTGAGATGCACTTAAGTTCAGTTAATGCAACTTGAATTCTTTGAATCCAACTTAGGTTTATTGAATGCAACTTGAGTTAAACTCCACTTCAATTTAAGCTCTTTTCAATGAACTTAGAGTTCATTAATGCAATGCCTCTCTTAAGCTCTACTTGGAAGATGTTAAGTTGAAAAATTCTATCTCTCTCTTGATCATCCTTAGCCGAGCCCACCAAGTGTTGAACATGAGAAAGTAAAGCTTGTTGAAGCTTCTTGGCTCTGATCTCATTATGTGTCGAAGCATGACAATGACGCTCCCTTGATTAACATCATGACTAATTTATGCAAATACTTTAGTATAGTTAGTATTGTATTTTAGTTTTAATATGAATGGTTTCAAATTTAAAATTGACTAAAAAAGCAAAAGAGATATTTGAAATGTATAAAACTACCGACATGACAAGATCCATCCTACCGGTTAAGAAATTACAATGAAAATATAATATAAGGACCTTAATATAAGTGAGTTATCAATCTCATTACGTTTAGTGTAAATGATATTGACACTGTATATTTAAAAATCTTCTCCTATCGAACTAAATATTTTAAATAACACCACCAACGATGACGACAGCAAAAACCAAAAAAAATAAATAAATAAATAAGACCTGCCAAAGATTTTCCTCCATTACAAAAAGAAAATGGAAAAAAATAAAAAAAGAAACAGTCCCGAAACAGAAAACAAAACAGTAGAAGACACAATAAATAGAAAACCAAATTTCTCCAATAAAATAGGGTAAAATTGGAATCCGTTCTAATTTTATCAAATCTTACGATGTTTTTTTTCCTTTTTTTACCCAAAACGCGGTTAAATCCTAACGAAATCATTTCAAATTCTGCTTAGATTAGAAATACTTCTAAATCTGGGGTGCGGTTCCAGAAAAGGGGCAACGACATTCTTCTTCTTTTTTCTTAACTAAAATTTTCATCAGTATTTAAAAAACCCCATCCTCCAACAACATAAAAACAAGAAAAAGAAAAAAAAAAAAGAATTGAATAAATATTTTATTCGAAAAATGGCAAACTCCAGTGTTGTAGCATCCTCCCTCTTGGCTTTCGTTTCTTCCCTTGTTTTGTTGTTGCATGTGGCATCCGCAAACGACGTCGCTTCCACCATCTGCCCGAAAACCAAAAACCCGGGCTTCTGCACGACCGAATTGAAAACCGCGGGCAGCGCAGACCTCAAAGCCCTGGCCACCCACACCCTGAATCTCGCCCGTAAGAAGGCCGGCGAATCCGTGGCTCTGGCCAACGACCTTGCCGCCAAAGCCACCGATCCTCAGCTCAAGGAACGCTACACCTCCTGCTCCAAAAACTTCGACGAAGCCATCGGCAACATCGAAACCGCCGAGAAGCACTTGGCCTCCGGCGACTATAACGGCGTCAACCTTGCCGGCTCCGCCGTCATGTCCACCGTCGACGACTGTCGGGCCAACTTCGAGACTGGCCCGGCCGACACGTCGTCGCTCTCCACTAACGGCAAGACTCTGGATGATATTTCTAGCATTATCTTGGTGATTTCCAATCTTCTCCTTCAGCCCGCTTAATTAACTAATTCTGTACTGGAGATTGCCATGGATGAATAAGTTTTTAAGTTTTTATAACCAATAAAAATTGCGTAATTCAATGTTATCTACTTTCCATGAAATGAAACTTCAATGTTTTGATTTTCTCGAAGGATCCTGAATAATAAATTTCTGTACTTTCGATTTTGTTTCGAAAATTTAATGTTATGATTTGAGTTCTTGCTAAAGAAGATCCCATGAAATGAAACTTCGATTTTGTGTCTGAAAAATTGAATGTTGAGAGATTAAATTTGTAATTTAACAAAATTTGAGATTAATAAAAAAGTAACTGCCTTATCTGTTAGTTCATTAATAAGAATGGTTCTAATTAAATATAGTTTTTTCCAAATACAAATTGGATTTGTTGCGACATTTGGTGAAGGGCCAGGAGTGGTCAGGAATTTGAAGTATGAAGGAGGCCCAAGAGCCCAAATTATTTGTCTTGGGTTATGAGTGACAATGGTCTTGGGTTTGATCCACAATGTAATCAACACGGTATCAATTCTGCAAAATATTAAAAATAATTTGTGCCTTTTTCTTTTCAATTGATAAAGATAATCAATAATTTTATTTTTGTGATTATAGTTCTTTTTTTTGTTAAGTTCCACAAACAGACTAGTTGAACTACATTCATGTCGTCGTTAGGATTATAGTTAAAGTATCAATATATAAGTAAATAATTGATTTAGGTTGGTGGAGGACTATTACCTAAAATAGTACTAAAAATGACTATTACATACTATTGTTGGATATAGGTGATTTTTCAAGCTCAAATTGGTAAACATATTAAAATTTTTACATATTTACGATGATTTTGTCTATAAAATATTATATTTGCAATTATTTTTAATAAAACATCAATTTTACCTAGTAGCATAATTTTAGCAATGTATTTTAAAAATATCATAAATAGAAATAATTGCACAAATAAAGGTATAGGAAGGACAATGGTAAAATATTCCCAATCCTGAAAGAAAAAGTATTGGGGTGAAATTAAAATGCATTGTTGAAGAACGGTTCATATTCCTTTGCCAAAAAAATAAAAATAAAATAAAATAAAATAGTTCATATTGAAAATTTTGAGTTTCAGACAGGTGCCAGGTTGTGGCCGGCATTTAAAAAAATTAATTAATTATTATTTTTATTAAGAATAAAAGGCATTACCAATTTTTGGATTGCTTTTGTTTTGAAGTCCCAAGAAGTTTGACCTGGAGCAGCAGTCAGACCAAAACAAGTAACACCTGACTCTAGACGGCGTCGCTTTGGCCTTTCTTAAAGAAACAAAATCCAAAGTATAATTTTAAATTAATAAAACGACGGATTTAATTAGCTGTCTTTATAGTTGACAATTTCTGGTCTTTAATTTCAGCCAATATCATTAAGTATTTAAATTGATCATTCAATGCTGCTTTAGTCTTTGCTTAATTTGCTTCCATAAATCTCTCTCCCTTGTTTTAAAATTTATTAAACATATAGTAGATTTGGACCAAACATGGTAAATTTTAGACGATTTATATACTGCGATAAATTTACCAACATTCTGAATTTAAAATATTAATACTTTGAATCATCCCATTAATTATAAAGTAATATTCTTAAAAAAAAACTATAACATTTGAAAATTATATTCTAAAAATATTGTTATTTTTAAATTAGTTGTTCTATATATACATTCAAACAAAGAGCAAATTGTAAACTACAAAATTAAAAGAATTGTTGACACGTCTCTTGTGATTATCAACTATATTAAATTAGAAAAGTAGGTACAATCTAATAAAGAAAATAGATTATTTCATGTCATTCATTGTATAAATATATAATTCTCACTACTAATTAAATATAAAAAGTAAGCATAAGACTCATTAATCAAAGAAGCAAAAGTTTGCCACGTGGTAAAAAACATATATATTATATTTGATATCAATTTAATTTTACCTCGCTTAAATTTTAAATCTACAAAATTCATAGTCCAAAATGTATAACACATATTCCAAAAATACGTCGACCAAGTCTTAGAAAAATAAATTAATTAGGAAGTGAAATACTAAATTAGTTTTTTTTTTTGAATTAAATTGCTGAATCTTGAGTATCTTTTATTTAATAAATTTGTCAGCGTTATGGACTTCCCTCCACTCCACCTTAAGCCCATTGAATACCGCAACCAATTAAAAATTAAATCATCACTCTCACGCTGTCTGATAGTTCAATTTTTTAAGAATATTATAATATTTGCCCAAAATATCATTTATTTTAATATCCACCCCAATTTTTTGACTAAGTCTGATCTTTTAATTAATATTCACGAGATATGCAAATAAATGGTATTTTATTGTGCAAGGATGTCTCTTAGGTGTAGTTGCTAATTACTTATTTTATAATATTTGGAATCCTTAGCTTTACAATGCACATTATTTACGCATTATATTATTTTACAGCCTATAAATAAAATTATAAAATAAAAAATATATATTTTGACACTTGCTACTTTTTTTTTAATGGTCGAAAGTTCTAATCCTCATCCTACGTTTGTTGTATCAAAAAATATGAAAATAAACTAAATTCATAGTACAGCTATGTATTCTATATTTTATACCATTTAGTTTATATGGACAATATTTAGTTTATCAACTTTGATGGGAACATTATAACTAATGGTAATTTGGTAAATTTTAATTCACAAGTTTTAAAATTTATTTTAGTCCATGCACTTTTAGATTTGTTATATTTTTAATTTTGAAAAACTAACATTTTCGATTGTATTGTCTCTATGTTCTTTTGCTACATATTTTTTACTTACCTTGTACTCATATTCAATGTATGTTTTTTATATATTAGCACACATATTTGAAATCATATTATTAATATGTTAAAAGAAAAATGAAGGCAATGACCAAAATGAAGAGTTGTAGGGACTAAAATTTTAAAAATTTAGGTACCAAAAAATGAAATAAATCTAGAAGTCGAAGGACGAGAGAGATCATAATACAATTCAATTGTAATTTAAAATATAGGTCGTTCAAACTTTCAAGTTTGTTTATTTATATATATATATATATATATATTTGTTATTTCTCTTATGTTACAATTTTGAAGTATCTAATTCTTTATGGTAACCACTGACGAGAAATAGTGGGCCTAACTTGGCTCTAGACAATCCAACTGAGTGACATTCATTTAATTACTTAATTGGTAACAACTTTTTGAAAACCTATTATTTTGAGGGAAGACGTAAAAAGCTTCAAATCACTGCAAACGCATGAAATAATGGTGAGGGTAGGGATATTAGGTTGAGTTAGGGGACCACCAATATTCACATGATGAGAAACGATAAGATTGACAATGTGACGATCTTTGGTCCTGTACTCACTATTTATATTTATACTTAATAGATACTACCGTGGTATTTTTTATGCTAAATCAACGGATGTACTTATAGTTTTTATTTTTTAAAATTTGTACTCTATGAAAACATTATATCATCGCGTTTGTAAATATATTGAGATAAGAAAATAATAGTTTAAATTCAGTAATCTATATATTGTCAATTTTAAGTGGTAAGTATATTACGTGGTGTAATTAAATGGACATAAGAGGGCCATATTAGACAATAAGGTAGGTTGGAAAGGGCAATAAGGAAAATCATAAAGTTTTCCTCTCAATCAAAACCCTTTTAATTTACATGAAGTATGGATATAAATATTTAATATATTTATTGGAAGGCCACCAAAGTTATATATACAACAGCATGGAAAAGATCTAAGTGCTAATAATATAAGTCATATTAATTTAATATTAAACAAAATAAATTAAAGTAACCCAATGACAGAGACAAGAAGTTAAAAAGTTTTAAGAAAACTATTTATTTTTTATTTTGCATATAGTCAATTGGGAAACTTCACTGTGGATCAATTATATTAATCGAACTATGGAAATTAATTTTTTTTAATTTTGGATTTTGAATTAATTTTTTAAAGTAAAATTGTTAATTTAAACTAATTCTCTTTGATTTCAACGGTCAATTTTACATATTTTAAAAAGAAATTTGGAGATGCCCTGCACGCCACATTAGAAGATGTGCGAATGGGCGAGTTTCAACCATAAAAGGGCTACATTATTTATTTATATAATTTTTTTTAGTATAATAAATCAGGAGTATGAAATTTGAATTTTCAATTTAAAAGAAATAAATGTCTAACTACAGTTGAATTATATTTATGTCGTTTATTTATACTTGGTTATATTATATTAAGGATTGTTTTTCTTCCTTTTAGGTCATGATCCTCCATATGTAGTGTTATATTTCCATTAATATATCTATATATCTATTGCTTCAATATCTTAAAGTTAATAAACAATTCCATAATATCACCAAAAAAAATCGAAAAGATATAAAAAAACATCAATGAAATATCAAAAATATTGACATTATATTAATATTACTAATTTTTATCTTCTTCCAAGAGTGATAGAAATGTTTATTTGTTAATTAAATATTTATCATTAATTTCATACATTGATATTTTCATCCTTTCAATATTTCAATCTAAGTTAATATTTAGTCACATTGATTTGATGTGTGAAAATGCCTTTTCAGTTTTCAAGATTTTTTTTTATTTTTTATTTTTGAGAAAGTTGAGGATAAAAGTTATAAAGCAAGGTGAAAAGTAATTTTTCTTTGAGTTCTTGTCCGTTTCGAAGTTGCAAAAACCGCAGTGTCCTTTTTTTTTTTTTATCACTATTTTGTATATAGTTTATTTTCTTTCTTTCTTTATTTTTCTGTTTTTAAGTTTGCTTATTAAAACATATATTTATATATTTGATAGGTCTAGTTTTCACGTTTTAAAACAAACTGAAATTTGAATTATATTTTTTGTTTTTTGTTTTTTTGTTTTTGAACAGAGTGAAAATTGAGTTAACCTTTTACGCATAAGAAAAAAGAAATTTTTTTTTTAAGAACCGTACATGTTAATTTTTTTAAAAAAGTTTTAGAATTATGTTATAAAAAACCATAATCAAGACAAGTATAATTTTTAAAAATAAAATTTTCATCTAGTCAATCCTCAACTTATTTTTAAGAAGTAAATTAAATTTATATACAAACCAACCTAAAAGAAGAAGTATGATACTTCATATAAAATTTAATAATAACAAATCGGGTCATAAATACACAATTAATTTAAATAGTAAGAAAGAAAATTTATATATATTTTTTATAACAACATAGGTGGGTGAAGATTTGAACTTCCAATCTCTTAGAGAATAGTAAATGTGCCTTAATCATTAAACCGTGTTCACGTTAACAAATAATTAAGATGAATTTTATGATTATTATGTGGTAAATTTAACAAACACTCTAAAAAATAAAAAATAAAATCAGCTAACAATATAAAGTTATTAATTGCATATTTGAATTAATGGATCCAAACAAAAATAAATGCACATTGGACTCTTTTTTATTATATAAAAAAAATTTATTAGTT